AAACAGCTGCATCTCCAACAACCAGGTGTGGCTCACGGGTCAGGTTGACTTTTATCAAGATCCCAAAAACTACATGGTAGGCACCCAGCTGGTGCTACGTATGAAGGAAATTCGGGGTCCAGATCCAACCGTTTTTATTGGGATGTTCTAAAATTTGGAATTTCTCTTCTTGAAAACGTGCTAAAATGCCTTTCTTGAAGAACACAGAAAGCAAAGCCAGAATCTGTGGTGATGTTGCCTTTTTGTAGTAGAATACATTAAAATAAATACAAGTTTAAAGGTTTTATTAACTTTTCTTTTTGTTTTTTGTTTTTTTTTTTTACTCTTTACTTCTTTGGAGAAGAAAAGAACTTAAAACAAATGTCATTCCTGTGGGACTGAGTAAGCGTGGCATGGCTTGGAGCAGCCTGGGCACCAGGCTGGGCATCTCGGGAGTAGCGAGTCAGACCACTGGACTCAGAAGGCCCTGGAGGGCAATGTCCTAGAGTTGGACCGATGTCTGCACCTCTCAGAGAGGCAGCATAGAGGTGATGGCACCTCCTGTCTCGAGGCCACTGAGAGGGTCATAGCCAGGACACAAGCTCCTGGGTTCTGGAGTCTTCTCCACGGACGGGGATCGTAGAGCCCAGATTTTCCACCATAGTCATGGTCTCAAACATTCTGCCCTGCCCTTTACATAAATACATTCCTCCTTGTCAGCACATATGGCTCAGACTTTTGTTTGGAAAACATGGTTACCATCACAGCATCATCATGTATCTCTCACATGTGCTTGGAAAGATTAGCAGATGGCAGGTCCTCTCCGTTCCTGGGGTGGGGAGGAGCACGGTGGGGCTCTTTGCTGGTGTCCTGCAGCTCAGTGGGCCATGCGATGGCCTGGCTCACCCTCCAGCCAGCTTCATGGGGCCGGCCTGTCGTAGGATCTGGTTAGAACCGATAACCCTGCGATGGTTAACTTCAAGTGTCAACGTATCTAGGCTATGGTGCCCAGTTGTTTGGTGAAACACCAGGCTAGATGTTGCTGTGAAAGTATTTTTTAGATGTGATTAATGTTTAAATCAGTAGACTTTGAGCAAAACACATGGCCCTAGTTAATGGGAGGGGGGAGGAGGGGTCACCCAGTTAAAGGCCTTAACACAAAAGACTGAGGTCCCTGACCAGAAGATAATGCTGCCCCCTCAGGTCTACTCCCCAGGCCTTCAGACTCATGGCTACAACCTCAGCACCTGCTGGGATTTCCGGCCTACCGACTGCCGGCCCCCACAGTGGTGTAAGCTAATTCCTCAACAGCTCTCCTTCTCTCTCCATCTATTTATTTCTGAGGGACATTGCCCATAACCTCTGTGACATCGTCCAAAAAGCCCACAGCCCCAAAGAGGAATCCAATGTGTCCCTTGGCAACTGCACTTCCTACACGTACATACCTGCACACACACATGTCCTACGGGCCTGTCTCTCTGGACAACCCTGACTAATACAGTCCCCAACTGGCAGACACTCCATTTTTCAAGTATACTCCTAGAGAATAGCCCCAAAGAGTACAAGCCTATGGACCTCTAGTTCACCACCTGTCCCCTTGTCATCTTACTCTTGGCAAATTTTCCATGATAATATGATCGGATGTGTTTTTCTCTGATTTGGGTTTCGGTTTTTTTTTTTTTGGCAGTGGTGGGGTTGTAGGGGCTTGGGGTCCCTAACCTGGCCCAGGAAGGTCTTATGAAAATCACACTGTCCCATCAATTATCTGTGATCTCAGCCACCTCAACAGGGACAAGAAGTACAGTTGCCAAGGGACAAATTTTGTTCCTCTTTAGGGCCACAGACTTTTTGGAGGATATGACAGAAATTATGGGCAATGTTCCCCAGAAAAATACACATGTCCACGCACATCTGCAGGCCCTCCCAAGAGCACCCCCACACCTGGAGGAAGAGACCTCACGTGTGGGAGAAGCTCTACGGACTGGAACCCCAGTAACAGCAAAGGTGAGGAGGAAAAACCAGGCGGCAGGCCTGACCGAAAGCCAACCCACGCCCACCGAGTCCCCGCTGCACGCCGGGTGCCGATGGACTAAGCCCATGGGAGAAAGTGGAAGAGCCCACGGCAGAGCTAGAGACTCTCAGAGCCTCCAACTGAAAGGTATGGAAGAGAGGAACTGGGCTCCTGAGGCAACTGAACAGTTGACTTTGCATGAGGAGAAGCAGAGTGTAACTCCCGACCTCACCCCTGAGCATCCTAAGTCATTAAATGTAGCATCAGTGACCGTACTCAGAGACATGTCCCTCAGAGACAAAGCAGGAGCACTGATTCTCTCTCCACGCAACCAAATGGGCAGCAGGGCAAAGACACCAAAAGGTGAAAAATTCCTAGAGTTCAAGACTCTCGATTGAGGCGTGAGAATCAAGGCTCCTTCGGGCTCCTGAGCAACCAGCCGTGGGGACAGGTCACACGCTGGAGAAGAAGTCTGGAGAGGGAGGTCAGTGCGCTAGCACTGGGGGTGACAGCCATGAGGGAGGGACACTCAATAGGTCGGGCTGAGGCAGAAGGAGGGGACAGAACTGCTGGAGAAGATCTTGTCACCCACTGCCACTGCCCTTTTAGCTCAACTCAAAATTTTTCACCTTCTTCCATTTCACCCGAGCCCACGTTCCCTGTCGCCAGAGCCCGTTTGCTCAGATGTGCAGTCCTGTCCAAGGTATTTTAAAGACAGCAAATACCTACACGTCTACAGAGCTTCAGGAAGGAAGGAAAGAAGGAAGGGAGGGAGGAAGGGAGCCATCCAGGAAATCTTCCTCATAAAAATTATTTTGCTTGTCTAATTTCGAAACACTCAAGCCTGGCTATTGTCATCTTTGTTTCCCAAGGAGCTCACGGAACGCCCGGACACCAGATTTAATCCTTCTTTCCGAGTGTTTAAAACGACGCAGGGTGAGGGAAGAAGGGAAGAGGTAAATCAGACTTTAGGGGGAAAGTTATCAAGTTGCCTGTCCTGGAAAAAGTCAAAAGATCCATTTTGGGCCGTACGAGACAACTCGAAATTAGGAGACAGAATTTCAAACAGATGCAGAGTGTTTGCCGAGCCTCTCGGACGCGGCTCAAGCGAAGCTCTCTCCCCAGCCAGTGCTCGGGGCCTGGTGAGCCGGCCAAGAACTGAAATGGTCTCCAAACCCTCCCGCCACCCCCACCCCAGGCCTGGGCCCCTCATTCGGTTGCTGTCTTCTTCCTCCTCCGAGAAGCACAGCCTGGGAGTCCGGCCAAGACAAGGACGCAGTCTCTGCGGACCGTCACTGCCCTCAGTGCTGTGAGGCTAATTTGGTCAGACCGCGATGCCGGAAGGATAAGAATCAGAAAGGACAAGTGTCAGGATGGCACGGGCTGTAAGAAAAGGTGACACTGATCATTGTCTCAGAAGAGAAGGCGATCGCTGATAGCCCAGCACACATCACTTCTATCTTCGCCACAAAGGGGAAGGAAGCAAGGAGAGCCGCGTCCTCCCACTGTGGGCTGACGACAGGCAAGTACGGCCCAGGCAAGCAAACCCAGCTGTCAGGGGCAGCTACGAGTCTGTGGGACCCAGGATAAAACGTAAACATGGAGCCCATGGTTCAAAAAGTATCAAGAATTTCGAGACAGCGACAGCAGAGCACGACACCCAGCCAGCCTCCTCCTGAGTTCGGGGCCCTGTGCAGGCTTCTAGGAGGCTCGCAGAGAAGCCGCCCTGTCCGCCACCATGGCATAAAGGGGTAACTTTCCAGACCTACCCCGGATGTGATTAGAGGTCTTGTCATCTGGTTTGAAAGACATCTGACCCCTCAGGTCTACCCTCCTTCACAATTCATTCTTGAGGTAGACATGGAACCAGGTGGGTAAGTGAGCCCCACCAAAGCTGCCACCCAGAGGGCTCAGAGGCTACTAATGGCTTGGGGACAAAAGAAACCCCAAGGGACATGAATGGAGACAGCTCCAGAAAGAATGGCAAAGTCACCTTTCTGGGCCAAAGGTCTGTATTCACAACCCCATGCCCGAGTTCCCAGCTAAGACCCACTAGCAGGGAGCAAGCAGGCGTCCCAAGAGATTCTAAGAACCCCCAGGAACAGTTCCCAGGCCTTTGGCTCAAGTCTAGATTTCAGAGAACCAGAAAGCAAAGCCCTGCCCAGAGCAAGGTCAAGCCCTCCACACCGTTTGCAGGATGAAGGCTCTGCAGCAGGTTTCATAAAACACCGAACAAGTGAATGGGGGGGTCCATCACGCCTCCCCACAGCAGAGCCACACTCTCTCCACATGGCCTCGGGAGAGGGTTACTTCACCGCAGGGCAGGCCCCCAGGCAAATTCGGACCGGTGCTGTGTAGGTCCTATGGTGAGAAAGTTCTTAAGGACTTGGGGAGGGGCCCTCCGCAGCCATGGCAAGGAGACAGATCTGGAGACAGCCTGTGGAAGACCCATGGGCGGCCGCCCAGCGTCCACCCTGCCTTGGCATCCAGAAAGGCCCAGGGGAGGAAAGGCGCCCGCCCTGGCGGGATTCCCCCTACTGGGCAGGTTCGATCAGGCTCTAAGCCCACGCTCGGCCTCCCTGGAGAGCAGGCTGCTTTCAAGGAATTTTAAACTGCTTGGAGCCTGGTGGGGTCCGCAGGGGGTACGAGCCCACTTAGCCCCTGCAGCATGAGATGAACTTTAGGGGCTTCCTCTATGTCAGAAAAGAGACTTCTCAGGTATCTAATCCCCCAGGCCAGCTCATTTCACTCAGAGGGAGGGGTCCCCTTTCTACCAGATCAAACCTGGGATTGAGTTTCTCCTGGGCCAGGTCCTCAGAGGGGGTGGGGTCACACCCCTGACCTGCAGAAGGGACCTGAGCTGGCAGGAGACCCCAGCAAGAGCTGAAGGCTGTGCCAGGGCAGGCTCTGGGCTGACCCGGCTGGGCTGGGGTGGGGCTAGGTCATCCCGGGAATGTGGAGGGTGGGCCTGGCCCGGGAACCGTGTTCCCCACCCCCAAGGCTGACTCACTCAGGAGTGTTGATCCAGATGATGTCCAGGTGGCAATAGTAGACACACTCCTTGTCCTTGTAGGTGAAGCACGTGCAGCGCCTGAATCGGTGGTGCTCAGGGCCCTCCTCAGCCGCCTGCTCCCTGGCCTGACTTGGTCCCTGCTCCTGCCCAGGGCTTCCAAGGCTTGAACCCTGCACTGCTGTGACAGGAGCCACAGTCCTGTCTCCGGGGCCAGCCCCAGTCTCTTCAAGGTGCCCCTCAGATGTGGCTGCAGGAGGCACCTGGAGCACGCCGCTCCTGCCAGCATCCCCAGGCTGGGGGCGCACGAATCCTGCAGGAGGCAGATTGAGGGCTCCTGAGCTGAGTGTGCAGACCCCTCACACCTGCCACCCCCAAACACCTGAGAGGAGGGGTCAGAGAAGCAAAATTTCGGCAAAGTTTGCAAAGCTATGTGCACAGTTTCTGGAAAGTTTGCAAGTTACATGCATACTTTGTGAAAAGCTTGCAAGCTATTTTCACTCTCTGCAAAGTCTGCAAGCGATTTGCACCCGTGGAAAACTTGCACGCATTTTGCACATTTTCTGAAAACTTTGCAAGCATTTTGCACAGTCTTTGAATAGTTGGAAAACTTTTTGAAAAGTTCCCAACTTCAGGAAAAGTTGACCAAGTCGGTCTGGGCATCAGGTCTCCAGCCCCTGTGTGGGCTGCAAGCCCCAGAGCCCGCGCGGGTAGTCCTTGCACACCGCTTCTGCCCCCCAGCCCGCCCCCAGGAGTCTTCAGGGGTGGAGAGTTCAGGCAGGAGTCTGCTCCCGGCAACCCACACCTTCTCCGCGCCCCCAATCCCCCCACCCCTGGGTCCTTTTGTGTGCGCTCCCGCCAGGAGAGGCGCGTGCCCCGCCCGCTTACCTGCGGCGGCGGCGGTCACCGTGAGCCCCAAAAGGAGCCACAGCCCTGGCTCCATGAACCCCGATCAGGCGCGGGAGTTCTGGGCCCGGAGGACGGCGGCTCCTGGCCGCGAAGGGACACTGGGACCGGGCACAGCTGCCTTGCCCTCCAGTTGTGGGGCTTCGAGGCCGGCCGCTCGCTCGCTGCGTCCCCAGCTCCTGCCACAAGTTGGCTGTGGCGGTCACAAACTTTCAGAGCGTGCTGCCCATCCCAGCACAGGGCTGGCCGGCTGTGAGCTCGGGCTTTTCTGGCTCCCGCACCACCCCCCTCGCCTCCCCGCCCCCCGGAGGGGCTGGAGCTGCTGCGGGGCCTTTGAACCCGGGGCGCACCGGGGGTCGCCTCCCAGGCCCAGGGTAGGGGGAGCTGAGCACAGCGGCCGGAGGCGCACCCAGGACAGCGAGGGGCGGGGGCGGCGCCGCTGGGTGGGGTGGGGTAGGGTGGGGGCCAGAGACAGCTGCCAGCTGCAGAAGGCCACACGCGCGCGCGCGCGCGCACACGCCCACGCGCACTCCCCGCCGGCTCGGACCTGCAGCCCAAAGTAGCAGCCCCCACGCATGAGCAATATGAGATGATAAAAGGCTGCGCCTAAAGGTTGTTATCCATTATCTCAGGGTCTAAGGGAAAGAAACATTTCTCAATGTTCGCCTAATGACACCTTATCCTTGCACAAGAGCCTGCTTGCCAAGTCGCTAGGTGTACTTTACACCCGTGACTCACGGGCGCAGGCGTCTCCCTACCTCTCCCAGGCGTTCGGAGCAGCTGGGTGGGGCCGTGGCCCAGAGCAAAGTCAATAAAGACCCTGGGTTAGCGGTCCTGAGGTGCCCAGGACTTCCTCATGGCCCCGGCGCAGCTGGAGCAGCTTCAATGAGAGTCAGATTCCTCTCCCTAAAGGCCAAGTTCATTCACTGGACAACTGTGCACCCCGTGGGAAAGGGCTCCCCAGCAGCCCCTGTTTCCTTCAGAGCCTTGGCGGGCCCATGCGTGGAAGGCTCTCCCATCTGCATCCCAGGCAGAAATGTCTGAGGCCCTGGGGTCCTTCCTCATTCTCAGGGCACTTGTGGTCAATGTAAACCATGTCTGCAAATGACCCTCCTCTCATTAAAGGTGGGGTTGCATACTGCCCCTGCCCCCCTCTAGCCTTATGACCAGCTGAAAGGAGAATGCAGCAGACTTCTGAGTCGTGTCATAAAAGATGCTGCAGCCTCCACATGGCTCGATGCCTGGGACGCTTATCCTCTGAACGCAGCTGCCATGTGGTGACGCCGCACAAACGAGCCAACATGGGGTGATCACGTGGAGAAACCGGCATGGAGAGAAACTGAGGCCTTCCAGACAACAGCCAGCGTCAGCCACTGGTGTGTGAATAAATGAGCCTTCAAGATGACTCCAGCCTCCAGCCTTGAAGACTTCCAACTGAGAACCAGCTGTCCCTGCCATGCTCTGCCCGAATTTCCCACCCGCAGAATCCAGGAGCATAACCGACGGCTGATTTCTACCACTGAATCTGGGGTAATTTGGTAGAGTCATAGTAACCAGAATAGCACTCAAGCTTCCAGAATTGAAGACGATACTTAAGTTTCTCCATCTCCTCACCCCCATTATGCCCAGTCCCTCCAAGTCAAGATGCAGAAAGGAGTGGAGCATGAAGGACACCATCTTTTAAAGGGTCCACCAAGCAGGACAAATGGGGGTGAGGGAAAGGGGGGTTGCTTTTGTGTGTGTGTGTTTGGTGCTTTGAAAATTAGAACTCTCAAGACTAGCAATATCTTCTGTTCCCCCTGGGCTAGAATCTGGATCATTTCATTATTATCTTAATCTGTTCAAGCTGCTATAACAAAATGCCATCAACTGGGTGGCTTATAAACAACAGAAATTGATTTCTCACATTTCTGGAGTCTTGGAAGTCCAAGATCACGGTGCCAGCAGATTTGGTGTCTAGTGCAGGCTAACTTTCTGATTGACAGATGGCATCTTCTCACTGAGTCCTCACGTGGCGGAAGGCACAAGGCAACTTTCTGGGGCCTCTTTCATACGGGCACTAATCCCACTCAGGAGGGCTCCACCCTCATGACCTAATCACCTCCCAGAGGCCCCACCTCCTATTGCCATCACCTTAAGGGTTAGGATTTCAACAGATGAATGTGGGGAGGGGGACAAACATTCAGATCGTAACAATTATTATCTCTTTCTTTGGAATTAAAATATCCATCTTCTACAGAAATTTAATGAAACTTGGATTGGGAGATGGTTAGAGAAATAGAAAATATACAATCAGCTAAAAAGAAAAAAAAAAAAAGAGATGTTTTCCTGCCACTATATGTTCAGAGACAGGAGATGTCATTGCTGCTTAGACCACTCCCTGAAACTGTTGCCTTCAGTAGCTTGGAACTGACTGCCACTTGTCTTCATTGGGACTAAAAGTCAACAAATCCTGGAAGAACCTCTCAGGCACCCATAAGTGCTGGCTGATTCCCAGATGGAGCTGGCCCTGACCTCAGGATCGTCTACTCTAGTTGAGATGAGGAAGTTCGGGAGGGAGAAGCCAGGATACCAGGTGTTAAGTCCAGAAGACACTGTGCAGAGTTGAGAGAAGACAGTCTGCCGGCTGTGGTTAGAGGAGGCAGAATTTTCACTCATCCTTAAAGCCACCTGGGCCCTATGATTCGAGGTAGTACCCCGCTGTGATAGTCAACACCACCAACCCACACGTGAGAACATTCTTCCCTTTCTACTTCATTGCAGTCCTCTGGGGATGCCTAGGAGAACGCCTCAGTGGGTATGTCTTTAGTAAACTCCCCTTTCTGGAGAAAGGGAGAGCAGTTAGAGCCTTTGTCAGGCCATAGAATCAAGCTTTCCACATGTGGAAAATTACATTCCTATTAATTTAAGAAAATCAATTTTTTGACTTAAGTAAATTAAGTCAAAAGTAATGAAGTAATGAAGTAATGAAGTAATTGAAGTAATTCATTGTAGAGCTGGTTTGGAAACTTATAAAAATCACAGATCATTGTGGGCTCCAATCTAAGCAGTGTTCAAAGGAAGCATACACTTCGCATGACTGGGTGGCACGCTGGTCGTGAGGGTTTTAATCATCGTTTTGCCCTGTGACAACTCAGCAAAATGTATACTAACATTATCCCCATGTTACAAATAAAAATTAAGGCTCCAAAAGGTTAAAGTAACCGACATGGTCATGCAACTGCTAAGTGCAGAGTTGGGATTCAGAATCAACTCTGTCTGATTCCAGGGACAGAGTTCATAACCATTAGGCAGCGCTGCTGAGGTCATACCTGGGGTTTATCATTGTTCCCATTCCCTTCTGTGTGCCGTTGACGAGTCATTGCCTCTCCATCTGTCTAGTTTCCTCATTCCCATGATCTCTGATGAGAGGTCATGCAGAGGAATAGTGACCTCGTTTCCTCTGCAGAGACGCTAATGAACGGTGGGTCTCCTCCGCTGACGTCCACCAACCTTCCTTGATCTTCCTCTTCTGCCTCAAATGCACTCCTAAGAGAAGTCAGATAGTAGGACCCTGCTGGGCCTCGGCCAAGTTTGTGGCTTGGTCATTGTGTTCATTTTTCCTCAACTTTTTCCAAGCTAGCAGGTGGGCATCTGTTACTTCGCGCTCTTACAGCTCACTTACACTTTGATTCAAAACCTAGCTGCAAAACCTAGCCATGGAGAATATTGCAGTTGATCTCAGACAAGCATCTCCTCAAGTTGCCTCTTCATGTGCTTTATGATTCTTTTCAAGATTGTTTTCCCTTAAATTTAGGGGATTTGAGGGAGGGTAACATAATACATCATGGTTTTCCATTGCCCTGGAATTTCTTCCCCTCTCCCACCCTGATCAGCAGAAACTCCGGTCTCCGATAATTAAGTGCTCAAGTCTTAGCTGGGCCTCCCCTCATCACCATGTGGGTCATGATAAGAGGCACTTGAGGAGGTACCAGGCTCCAAATTCTTTGCTTTGGAAACTACATACATTGTATACAAAGTTCCCAGCGAAATGAAATGATCACAATGCATTCTGAAAGGTGGCGCTGCCAATAAAACGCGCTCAAGGGCTAAAAGAAATTAGCGGATCCTGAAAGGAAATCTGACAGGGAGTCTAATGAAAGTTGCTCAAGAAAGTCCCAAAGTTTTATCCTGTGTTTTCTGTTGTAGACGTTTGCTGTGGCTGCCCCTTAGCATTGTCCCTTCAGGTCTGGGAATGGACCAAGTCATCCCTGGGGAAGCCCCCTCCCCACCCTCTGTCCATGTGGTTTGAATGGGGCTCCAGGACCAGGCTTGTGACTCTGGACTAACCAATCAGAGCCTCACATCATCTTTGAAATGGACAGAATAATGCCCCCCAGCCCCCACCAAAAATGTCCAGGACCTAATGCTCGGAACCTGTGTATACGTCATCTAACTTGCCAAGGGGGACTTTGCAGATGTGATTACAGACCTAGAGATGGGAGGTTATGCTCGGCTATCCAAGGGGGTCCCCGTATAGTCGCAAATGTCCTTATAAGCAGGTGGCAGGAGAGTGGGAGTCAGGGAAGATGTGACAATGGAAGCAGAGGTCAGAACGGTGCAGGGCCACGCACCAAGGAATGCAGGCTGCCTCTGGAAAATGGAAAAGTCAGGAAACAGATCATCTTCCACCTCCAGAAGGAGCATGGCCCTTCTAACCCATTTTTAGACTTCTGACTTCCAGAATTGTAAGATAACAAATTTGCATTGTTTTAAACCACTAAGGTCGTTGGTGCTTTGTTGCAGCAGCAATAAGACATTGATGCAAACTTAGATATAGTGATTGTCCAGGGATGGGCCCACGAGCCACTCACAGCTAGTCAGAACCAATGAGATTCAGTTCTGGCACTTTGCAGAGAGGCTCTTCTGTTTTTCGACGGAGTTGCTGAGAGGATCAGACAGATGCTTGGCAGTGCCAGCAGCCATTGTCATCATGAGGTGGCAAGTCTGTGCAGGAATGGAGCCAACACAGAGAAAGAAGTGGAAAACGGGGGTAGAGAGGAGAGACCACGTCGTGAGCCCTTGGGTGCAGCATAGCCCCTTGGCACGTCCACCTGCATCGGCCAAGACAGTCCCATCTGCACTTCTGCCAGTTCAAGCTAGGTTTCTTCCCCTTGCAGTCAAAATCATCTTGAGATGTTCTGTCTCACCTCGTTGTGACCTTCGAGTAGGTTATCAAGGACACGGGTGCCGCCGATGGTGGTCGTCTCAGGAGGCAGCGGAATGGCCGTGTTGGTTAATTGGTCAGGGAATGGCAGGAGCTACCAAAATAAATACTGAACATTTTTCTAGAAAGTTTTAGGTTCCACACTTTTAGCAGGCCAGACATAAGTGCTCATTCAAAACCATTTCTGGTGA